AGGGATTAATTCTGCTGGATTTGGTAATTGCTCTAACTGAGTCTCTTGGGATTCGATTCGGGACCTTTCCCACCTCCCTCAGTTTTTAGAATGAATTTCTTTGAAAATTTTGATTTTAATTTATAGAAGGGCAGCAGCTTTCTCTTCGAAGAAGTTGTTGCAAGTAGTTTGACCGGATTCCCTCTTCTGAAAGCTAGTGAGTTAGGGATGTTAGTCAGCTAGGCTTTGAAGCTGTTGGCCTGTAAGCCAGTCTGATTGCCTTTTCACTTTCCTCCTCTTTTTCTTTTTAGTTCATTCATTATTACCGAATATGCCAGCGAGCGGAATAGCTATTCTAAGATGAGATGAAGCTACAGCTTTACTGTAAAATAGATATCTCTTTGCTCTTCAGCTAGGAAGTCCGAAAGCAAGTAAGTTGTAGGACAGGTCAGTCACCAGTAGTTCTAGTTTTGTGGATTGGGAGGACAGCCCGGTGTTGAGACCTTCCTTCTCGGGGATTCAAATAGATAGTCTTTTGAAAACATCAAACATGAAATATGAATATCCTCCTTCGATTCTAAGCCAATTCCATTCTATTTGCCGGCGTTCAGTTAAACTAGAGGACAGCCTTTCCTTTACGCTAAGAATGGGGGCATTTAGCCTATTGTATTGAATCCGCAGCAGTCTCCGTAGGAGTAGCACGTTTTCGATCAGGAACTGCAGATAAGCTAACAGAATCCGATCTTTAGCATCCTAGCAACATCCTATCGTTCCTCAGCCTTCTTACTATACCAGCCTAGTTGATATCTATTAACATATAGAAAAAAAATAGTCTATTAATTTTCCGTCCTGAATGCTGACAAGTCATAGGGGAATACATTATAACATGACTTAGCTTTCAGCTATCCGATTGACCAAGACTTGCATTCTCGACATCAGATACGTGGATAGCCTGATCTAGATAGGGAGACAGGCACTGCTAGGCTAGGCGCTCATGCCTACTTTGAAAGAGGATAGCTAAGCAAAGCTGGCAGATAATAGGAAAGGAGGCATTCTAAGCTTTGAGGGCAAGCCATACTAGTCTGATCCCCCTTCCCTTCTTCGAGCATAGCATGAAGCTACCGACGTCAGACATCAAGAACAAGGTACGTCAGTCACTGTCCTGTTAAGGAGTTAAACCACTCGACTTACAGGAGAGGGCAGGTACGTGTAGTCACTCATAGCTGGCTATATGAGTGAGTACTCCCACTCTTTATTGACTATAAAAAAGGCTATCGAATCAGAGAAATAAGTAGTAGTTCTTACTAGACTTACACTATGACGGCTAAGAAAGTCGCGTTTAACGAGTCATACGTAATTAGCCACATTCTGGCGAGAACGGGCGTTATAAAATAAAGCCAATTATCAGCCTTAGAATCAAAGAATTATGGTAATTTACCATATCCAGGATAGACCGAGAGCATCATACAGCTATATGAGTAAGTACGTACCTACATTGACTACGTGAAAGCAATAAGACTCTTAATCGCTCGTATCCCATACCCATGGGCTACTTCACTGGTACAGTAGATAGTTAAGAAAGAGAGCTTAAGGTGCTAACATCTAATCTCTTCTATGTAAGGTAAAGGCGTTAGCTCCCCTCGCTTCGCTCGACTTGCTTCGTTTCTTTAGCAGCTACGGCTAATAGAGAAGAGCTCGCTCGTGAAGTCTCATAGCCAGATCCCTCTCCTTTCACTCGAGTCACTTCTATCCTTACACGAGACGCAGATAGCGAGCAGACAGCTATATTCTTACTGAGAAAACCACCTTTCTTTCTTCATATGGAAGATGATTCTCCACATGAGGACAATAAAACGCATTAGAAGGCCATATAGAGCCAAATAGAATCAAAGAAATTATACATTATCGGGCTGAAAAAGGACCGGGGTTTAGCTCTTTGAAGCAGATGTTGAAGGAAGCCTGACTTTACTCAAAAATCCATTAAAAGAGATAGCCGATCGCATCTCTCTTTCTATTGATTGTAATTCAAAGTCAAGGTTCTATGCTTGTTCACTAGAATAAGGGAAAATGACTCGATCATAGGGTGACGAAGGAAGCTTGTTAGAATTAGAAAAGGAAGTCACTGAATCAAGTCCCATTTGATAGTTAACCCCATCATCCATCAATGGAGGAAGGCGTTAAGGTAACCTCAAACCCTGTTGATGAAGGAAGGCATCTCACAAACTAAGGCCTTAGCGCATGCTGCCCACATGAGCACAGAAGGAGGCCAATGTTGTAATTCTTAAGGATGATTCTTTGAAGCAAGTACTTTGACTTTAAAGCTACGAATTAGAGTTAAACTGACCTCACTTTTCTGGATCAGTAAGTGATAGCTGTCAGGTTCGCAGAATGGCCGATGGAACCAACTGAATCCACTCTCGTGACATGTATTTCCACCACTTTGGGGAAAGAGATGAGCTTTTGGGGAGCTACCCGTCTTTACACATACGAGGAATCACTCACTGACAGACAAGAGGTCGACAACGTGAGCTTTACTGCCTGGTTCTTGATCCAACTGCAACCCTAGAGAGTTAGGTCTCTCTTCTTTACTTTAGAGAAGGAAATCCGAAGCATTACGAGATAAAAAGAAAAGAACTCTATCTTATGCAATAGGTCAGTTAAGAGTTCTTTCTTACACTTCTAGTATGAGTGTACGGATCTATTCCACCAACATCAACTGAGGCAAGAGCGTCTTTCACAGCTGATTCAAGAACAGCCATTCTTATTATTCTCCCGGGATCAGAAAAGGCTACGAAACTAGGCTATGAAAGCAGAGAGAACTCAAACTCCTAAACTAAACCTAAGGCAGCCTTTCTCCTTATTAATTATTAAAAAAAATAAGAAATAGCACCAGCCTAATCCAAGAATGTCGACTCTGATCTTTACTATTTTGCTATTCAACGCAATCTGCCCAATGAGCTACGGGTATATGAGCTAGGGCCAGTGGATTCCTCTCTTGAAATTCCTAAAAAAAAGAAGACAGGATCTTCTACTTAAAATTTATATTTATATATGCCAACTGCAACTGATTCCACTTGAGCAAGAGCAGCTTGCCCAAGAACAAGAAAGAGATATGCGAAATCAACCAAGACAGGCAAACGGATTGTATTGTTTCATGGAGAGGGGACTCACGTCCCTATTTATTCCCTATGGATTCTTAAGGGTGTTTAGGTAATTTTTTCAGTTCTGTCACTCTCTTTTCTCTTTTCTAAGCTATATCAACATAGCCAACTATAAAACGAATGCGCTTGTCAATTAATTCTTGGTGTAATACGTAAATGATTGGTGTCAGAATTTTTCACTGATCAGTCTCATCCGTGTAAGAATTCGGAATTCCTCTTCCAACTCGTCCCGGAATGGGCGTTATGGCAAAGAACAAGAAGAAAACAAAAGGAGGAATTTGTCCAATAGTAACAAATGGTGCCTCCACAGGTTGACATCCGATCCAACCTAGTAGTAAGCGATCCGCCAAAAGCAACCAAAATATTCCTTGGTGAATAGGGCGAAAACTTGAACTACGCACGTACATACTTTTAAAAAAAGGTAAAGCCAACAGACATATAAAAACTGGTGCTATTGCGGCTACACCTCCCGATTTGTCAGGTATACTACGAAGAATGGCATGGATCGGTAGGAAATACCATTCCGGCACAATATGAGGCGGGGTGGGCATCGGATTAGCAGGTATATAATTGTCGGGATGGCCCAAAACATTAGGAGCATAAAAAATCCAAATGGAAAAAAAGATAGCAAAAGCTACCCAACCTACTAGATCCTTTACATAAAAATAAGGGTAAAAAGAAATTTGATCCATCTCTGAATGTACACCCAATGGATTATTTGATCCATATTGATGCAATGCGGCCAGATGAAGAAGACTGGCGCCTACTAAAAGAAAGGGGAGTAAATGATGAAGACTAAAAAAACGATTTAAGGTGGCATTGTCCACGGAGAAACCACCCCAAAGCCAAGTCACTATGGTATCTCCTACTACAGGTATGGCGCTAGCTAAGCTTGTAATTACTGTAGCTCCCCAAAAGCTCATCTGACCCCAAGGTAGTACGTATCCTGTAAAAGCTGTCACAATCATTAATAGGAAGATTACAACTCCGAGACACCGAACAAATTCCCTAGGACTGCTATAACTCGCATGATATAGACCACGAAAAATATGAAGGTGAACCACAATGAGAAACATACTTGCCCCATTAGCATGCATATAACGGAGCAACCAGCCCCCTTCAACATCTCTCATAACGTGTTCTACGCTGTTGAAAGCTAGATCCACATGAGGTGTGTAATGCATAGCTAAAAAAACGCCAGTCACTATCTGAATGACTAAACAAATACCAGCTAACGAACCGAAGCCCCACCAATAACTAAGATTGCTCGGGGTTGGATAATCTATCAAATGTTGATTAAGTGTGGAGGATATAGGTTCTTTAAGAAGAGAGAATCGTTGGTTCCTTATAGTCATTTTTTGAAATTTCCTATCGTGACAACTCTGGTTCCCCCACCTTTTTTTCGTTCAGGGGCCCTACTTAAAAAAAAAAAAGAATCCATTATTTATATTTATAGTAAGCTTTTGCCTTGAAAGAATTGGGTTTCGCTGCGCCCTGAATCAATCAAAAAGCTTCTTTTTTTTAATTCATCCCATTTTTTTAATTTGGGCGAGAGGGAGGCTGTGAGTCACCTGGGCTACGGATTTGTCGGTTGGTTGATTCTCGAAATCACCTCTTGAGAAAAAAAAAAGGCCCTCGGGTCCCGACCCAAAAATGAATAGGAAGCGGGGCGGGCGAGGGTCTTTCATTAAAGGGGGAAAAGAGGGGTGGGGCCGCCTTGCGCTGCTTTAGAAAGGAGATATTTTCAGAAAGTAACTCTCTCCAACCTTTTCTATCTATCCTTAGAAGTTGGGCGAGATAAAGTAAATATGATATTTATTTGCGTTGGTTTTTCCAACGAAACTAAGCACTTTTTTTTTTCTTTATCATTCGGAAGGCTCAGTCCCACACTCTGACTTCCATGATGGGAACAACCTCCGCACTCCGGCGCTCCAATGAACAACAGTTCTCCGCCTTACTTTATTTAGAATAGTGGTCGATCCCTCGGGAGTTACATTCGTAACTTAATGTTATGTTCACGTTCACGCGGTGATATTATATCCAAGAGTACTACCCTGTACGTAGTCTATGTCTGGGGAGCATACTTGACAGGAGATAGACACAGGCGGTAGATAGGTCCCCCACTTCGATTCCAGCCCCGTTAGCATAGCATCTCCGATCCGAGATAAGGGATTACTCCGTTAGGTCTTTTCGGTCCGGAGCCGGCCGGTAATGGACCTTGCTTGTGGACCAGCTGCAGAGCTAACCCTTGTTCTATTGGTTTGGCGGTTGCTACCAAGACGATTTCTTTATGCCCATCAAAGGACCTCGAGATGCTAATCCACGAAAAACGATACGAGAAATTCGAAAGAACTCATATACGGAACGAGGGCGACCCGTGGAAATACATCGGTTTCTTACTCGTGCAAAGGAACTATTTCTTGGCAACTTGGACAACTTATAACGAAGTTTGTCCCGCATATCACTAGGAAGATCGGAATCTTTACAAAAGGCTTTATAAAGCTTTCGTCTCAATTCATATTTAGCCGCGAGCAATCTGCGTTTGTGATCTCGTATATTTCGCTTCTCCGACATCTCTTTCTTACTTTGTTTCTACCTCATCTTTTTGCAAAAAGCCGCTCCACGGTGGTAAAGTCTCATCTTGTGTGTTGGCCGAAGTGACAATAGTCACATTGAACCCTTGCGCAGCTTTAGAAAGGAGAGAATTTCATAAAGTCACTCTCTCCAACCTTTTCTATCTATCCGGCGAGAGAAAGTCAATATGATATTTGCGTTGGCGAAACTAAGCACTTTTTTTTTCTTTATCATTCGGAAGGCTCAGTCCCACACTCTGACTTCC